GACATCTGCATGATATGGAAATGAATAGATTTGCTTTTTGGATAAAGATTCCGCAGTCGAGGAGATGTTGGATAATTCGGAGTTCGTAACAGCCCGACGTTTGAGGCAGGATCCCAGTGAACTATCTGATATCTGCTTTACTTGACGAGTAATCTGATTAGGAACTGCTTACAATCCGTCGCACATGTTCGATTGCCGTTCAGAACTTGTACATTTATTTGTGCAATTCAGGTAGCGGCTGCATGTGAATACCGAATTGAGTTGAGTTCAAATGTCCAAGTCACGTCTGGCTCACTACACTGAGTGGTGGAATTAAGCTGAGTATCAGCTGATCATTTTTGTCCGAATCCGATCATGTGAAATGCGGCTCGACTTCAACCAATCACACACCTACGCCAGTGTGACCTGTCACGCCGTTCCATTGAAAGGCTCGGTCAACAAGCATTTCCCGACGATAGAGTGAAAGGATCTGTAACAATTTGCACTGGTTTTAAGGAAGACATTTTACGAATGATATAATAGTTTAGTGACCAGATAAATCCAAATAATCAGGTATAATTCACCTGATGATGCAATTCCACCAAATTCGCTAAAATCGAACTTTTTCCAGTATTGAATCTCACCACGTATTCGAAATCATCACCAAATGAACCGACCCTACAGACATAGCCCCATCACGTCAACAGAATGGCTTGTTTGTCAACAGGATTTGAGACAGTTCACTGTAATCCAACTATTTTTCAGATTCTAGTGTGATTAATCATGGTCACGTGAGCAAGACAGTCAGCTAAGAGTTAATGAATCACTGAGACTAACTAGATTGTTAGGTAACATGATAATTGGGCGACATATAGGATCCATGGACAATATGACCAGTTTGGCCAGTCTGGATATTACAAACATTCACCATAAAACACAACACGTTCGTTCTTTACATTCGAAATACTGAAAGCCACCAACTACGAAGTGTCTGGGAAACCCTTGGTGTACTCCAGCAATTTAGACATTCCAGATGTACATATCGAAATAGACAAATGCGAACGTAACTTTTTCAGATCTGAGACACCTGGTTAAAAACGGTGCACCTCTGCACAAACTGAAATCGGTTGCAGCCATTTACCAGTCCTCAGGTACTGGAAATGCACCAGGTGTGTTCGTGCATCCAGAAAACTGACCAGGAGGAACACCTGATGGTATGTCTCACTCAGTGGGACGGCTCTGGATGTTAGACAACAGTGTGACAAATTCACCACTCTTGATCAGGTAATTAACACACTGAGTACCATTATTGGATTGAGCTGGAAGTCCACCGAGGCAAAACAGTTATATTAGGTTACAAGCACCAAGGACACTATCATTTACCCCACTTAAAATGACTGATGAAAATCAGTAAAGTGGGATCGATCCCATGCAATAAATTTATGTGAATAGAAACAGTGGTCAACAGAGCGTGTTTGATATCGTCCCATTTTGGCCTAAGATTAGGTGTTTAGAATGGCGATAGACTTCAAAGAGGACAAAACCGGTGATGAGTTATCAACAGATTTGAACGCTTGTCGCGTTTCTACAGAATGTTATGGAGTAGCCGAGAGGCTTAACATTATATGAGCATACCACTGAATATGACGCTTTCCATTTGGTCTCCAGCTAAATATGGAGTCACTATTCACACGGGGTATACCATTATTCAACCTCAATTCCAGAGATGCATGTCGCCCCATCAGACACTTCTCAAACACTCAACCAGCGCCAACCCAAATGAAAGTCGCACATATTTTGGTTGAGTATTTTCTCCACATCAATCTCGTTTTATCTTAAGTGGATAAGTTTTGCAGTACTAACTTGAGTATCCATGTGGCAAAGCTGAGTCGACCGATGCTGAAAATCCCAGGAGCGTTGTACCTATACAGAATGTCTCATAATAAACGCAAAAATTAATTAAGCAATTTACGTAATTACTTTAAAAAAATGACGATTTTTTATTATTAATAGCCACATATAGGAGGTTTTGTATGCAAGTGTTAACATTCTTTTGTTTACAATCGATCTCAGCACGCGCATTGAAATTGTGAAACTCTATTATTCCCTTGGTGAAAGCGCCATCGCTGTACTTCGTGGTTACAAAACCAAACGTGGTTTCATCAAAGATCCTTTCCCCGCGTCGACCATTACACGCTTGATTGGAAAATTTGAGTCCAACGGATCTGTAGTGGATTTCCCTGGCGAAGTAAAAAGTCTCTGAGTGATGAAGGAGTGCCCATTGTACAGAATGCTGTCGAGCGACTTCAGTCCCAGGGCACCATGGCATCTTCGTCAGTAACTCAGGTGTTTCAGTTGCCCAACATTCCCCGCTCCAGCTTGCATCGTATTATGAGATGCCACCTTCACATCTACCCGTATCATTTCACTTTATTCATCACATCTACCCGTATCATTTCGCTTTATTCAACGGAGGAAGACAAGGAGCAACTTGTCACGTTCGCCAACTGGCTGCTGGACAATTAAGAAATCGTTCCCAACATTTTATGGAGCGATGGAGCAAATTTTTTCCGTGGATGGCATAATCAACAAGCACAATTGCGTGATATGGCCCCGTGAAGCTCCTCATACGTACCTCACCCATAACCTCTATTCCCCTCATCTCTGTGTGCGGATGAGATTCTCCTCAAAGTGTCTCCTGCGTCCCTTTTTCTTCGATGCTGCGGTTTCCGGCGACAGTTACCTCCATGCGCTGCAGACGCATGTTATTCCGCAACTCTAGGAGCACAAGAAGTCATCGACCGTCTCTGAACAAGGTGGCGCTCCATTCCACTACTCAAACCAAGTGAGAACTTACCTCCGAGAGCAATTTTCTGATAAGAGAGTCATTGCTCGTGGATTTCCAAACTTTTGGCCCGCAAGGTCACTCGATCTCACATCTCTGGATTATTGGTTTTGGGGAATGATCAACGCCCGCGTATATCATGAAAATAAACCGAAGTATATGGTGGAGTTAAGAGCAAGAATTGAAGAGGAGTGTACACGAGTGACGATTGAAGAAGTTAAGCATGCTGTGTCTCACATTTCATACCGCCTCCAACTTGTTATAGAAGAAAGGGCGGTTTTTTCAACATTATTTGTAATATTAGTTTATTTATAATAAACCTCCATAAGGCCTGTATATCCATGTAAAAATAATAAACGTTTAAATTGTTTTTAAAGTTTTAATATGAATATTATTTTTTGCGTTTATAATGAGACACCTTGTAGTTCACTGCTAACTGGCATAGGCACTGAGAGTGCCGCAAACGTATATAAAGTGCTAATATTGTTGAGCAGGAGGATGGCGAGCATTCACCGATGAGATCCAACGACTGAGTTCCAGTATGCAAACGACCCTCGTAATACAAACGGATATGTGCAGTTCACACAGCTGCTCGACTCGCGTTTCCCACATCATATTCGTATGGATGAGCATCTATTACTTGCAGGATAACTGTAGAATAGTAAAACAACATAACTTCTACACTTCGACTGACATGGTTCCACATCAGTTCTGCTTGTTCATCCGGCTCCTTTCAAGGTATTTTTCCACCAACATCTTAGCATTTCAAAAAATCTTCACAATAGATATTTCAAAATAAATCCCTGTGATCGCCCACTAGTCAAGTGTGAGTGTCAATTTGTTGATTCTCTAATGCCTAGACCTGAGCCCGTATTGTTCGTTGAATTAAAATTTGGTCTGAAGTCGACTGGACTTCAGTCGATCTGACTCGTGATAATTTGCCATTTACTGCGCCGCATTGGTTCCGGTGCGTCCAGCTATGAAAAGAGCAGGAATTTTAATAAGTGAAAGAAAATAAACGACGTCTCAGCACGAAGCAAAAGCGAAACTGCAAACCACAGCTGAATCTCTGGTTTATGACACGTTGCACAAAGTCTACCTTATATCAAGGCGAAATGTATAGCTCATATGTTTGCTGAAAAGTCCTGCATAACAAATCTCGTGTGTAAAATGTTTAAACTTTCTATTTGCGACAAAATTTCCGTAGAGTTTCCTCCCGCGATGAATAAAAGATAAGATCATTGCTCACAATGTAGACAGTCTGATTCTGATAAGTAAATGTAGGCCGGATGTGACCCAAAGCGTTGAAACGGACTTGCCATCAGATGTAGTTTGACGGAGCCAATACTAGTTTGTATCAATATCGTAAAACGGAAACAGACACATTTGGAGAAAGTCCGTTGTGACAGTAATTCGTCTGAACATAAATATTCCCATAACTCATAAGTACGAATAACAGTAGAGATAATTTATTGAACCGATCTAAAAATGACCGATATTATGTAGTTACCTATTTCTTGTACCCAGCGTAGTTACATAAATTAAAAATGTGCGCGGGCTAATGTCACTGAAACATCAGTCGTGCTTTCTTTAATTCTACCTGATTTTTGGATTTGTCTAACAGTTATATCATTTGCGAAATGTCCTTCATAACGAACAGTGGAAATTGGTACAGATCGTCCCGCTGTATCGTTGGGAAATATTCGTTGGTTGGGTGTTTGAATGGAACGGCGTGCAAGGTCAGGCCAGCGAAGATTTGTCATTAGTCGATCTGCATTTCGCATGATTGGGTTAGACTCCGTTTGATCATCTGGTGCTCAGCTTAATCCCACAACACAGTAGTGCTTCACCCACGCGCATCGCTCAACCTGTGACTAAAACCTCTTGAAGTAAGGTTCTTCTCCATCGACGTCTGGACCCAACTCAATTCGGTATTCACGTGCAGCCGCTATCCGAATTGCGTCAATGGATAGATAAATTGCAAACAGTAATTGAACATGTGCGACCGATTGAAACAAACACAATTCCCAATCAAATTACTTGTCAAGTACAGCAGATATCAGATAGTGCGTAAATATCCCCATGGTTTGAAAAAGAACACAGTGACAAACATTAATGCTTTTGGGATCTCGTCATCAGGTCAGTACATATCTAACAGTTGAAATAGGAGCGAAAAATGGAATACGCTGCGAAGATTGGTTAGTGAAATGCAAAACGTGGAGACAAGAACGATTGGTTATCTGCGCCCCTCCCCCAAGTCGCATCTAGTTGGATGCTGTGAGACAGTCAAGAGGGCTGTTGAGTGACTTGGCCGGTTGATTCTTGTCACACGACCAAGGCAGACTCAGCGTTCGTACGAAACGTTTTTGACAGCACCGGGTTTCGCAGACGTATAGTGACTGCCTCGGCTGTAGTCAAACAACGCCATGGAGTAGACACTGGCAGTCTATTTGGCACACTGTGAATGACTTGAAATGACTCAGTTGGCATGACTACGTGCCGGTGTCAATTAGGTGGGATGCGATTGAGCACCTGGCTGAACTGTTGAGTCTAGTGGCATGTCGGTAAGGGAGGTGCTCACGTATTCTCTTAGAAATTTGCCGTGTCGTGCACCAAAGATAGTCCGCTGAACAACAGCGGGAGAAAGAATACACAACCATATTCTGGATGAGGACTGGCATCTCTTCTTAGAGGTTTAAGTTGAACAAGGGGTTTTGCTGTAATCCAAGACCTCAGAGTTACAGCCGGAAACGTGCGTTGTAGGGATTGAAACAAGTGGTGATTGGCTATGTCCGCCAACAGATCGTCCTTTTACGGTAAACTCAAGGTTATTGGCTTCTTTCCAACGGGCGTGACGGGCGGTTGGATACGGCGGTTGGACATATTTTCGGTTATAAATCTCTCTGGGTTCAATGTGATCCTGCCTCAACTTTCGATACTGTTACGCCACTCCGAAGTATCTACCATCTCCTCGGCTGCGGAATCTTTATCCGAATCTTTATCCATACCATGCAGATGTCTATCCCCATATGACGTCCACGTGACACTACAGCAAACATTCATCCTGAAACGAGACACTACATAACCAACTCTCACTCATTTCCAGTCAGTCAGCGACAAATCCACACCCACTTGCAGTACCCGGAAAATTCTGTGACAGCCCGGTTGTTGACGAACCTCATTATCGCTGTTCAGATCGAACGTGCTCTCCCACCTGATGCTAGTTGATCCAGTCAACATTGCAATGTTGACCGCACCGCCACTGGGTAATCATCTGCTTCTGCATTAGGAAGTGATTTATGAGAACACACGGTCTGGGCGAAATCTCCCGTTTCCATTAAGGATGAACTGGTGCGCAGTAAAACCACCTGTTTAACATAGTATAGTGGTGTGAGGAACCATCCAATTAGGGAGGTGTAGTACTCAATGTTTCCGAATAAATCACACGGATGGCGATATGTGATGCTTCCTTTTATTGTATTGCCGCTAGGAGAGAAAGCCGATGGCCACTGTCACCTCACAACATAACAAATTCGAGGATCCCATCTCATCCATGCGGGCGTGAGCCTTACGTATGAGGCGACTATCGATTGTGGAGATGCGGCATGCGGGGTCTTCAGTGAACCACGCCTACGCAGTTGGAAGACCGACCGGACGATTGTGGATGCCGAATTGCAGATGCACACTAAATAAACTGATTTCCATATCGAATCCCCATTCAGTAAAATTGGTTCCAACACGGTTGTTCAGTGAAAGAACATAACACTGACTGGATGAGTATGGGCGGAATTCCATCCAGAAATTTTGCCGACTCACTCAAAGCATCCAGATACTCCAGTGCAATTGTGCATTTGTGAGACAGGTCAATCACAATTTCGTAGGGTTGGAAAGTGTAAATTTCGCTCCATTCAATTAGAGTCACAAAAGATATCAGAAATTCACTTTATTATGGAACGTAACACTTGCAGTGTGCTGTATGGATTTTTTGGAAACGGGCTACTTCGCTGAATTGCTTCACTTCCATTTGGAGCACCCACAATTCAGCTGTGACTTGAAAGTTAGAAAAATAACGTAAAGAAATTGAAATCACATGCTCTTTACGATGCAACACAATTCTAATTTGTGAACATTATAGCTGTCTACGAACATGCCCAATTTGGTGATGTGCTGCCTGAATGCATGAGGTTCATTTTCGACGATTCGTTGTACCCATAATCTCTATGGGTTATTCCCATCGGGGAATAATTTGACTCTTAATTAGGATGGCAACAATATGGCTGTTTTCAGAGTTTTTTCGGAGATAACCTCGCGTAATACTGCCGAATTTTCTCCGACCATGTTTCAGTGTGACGCAACGAATTTGACTCTGAAGTGGGATTGTTCCGTACATCCGTACATTTGGTGGTAACGCTGAAAGTCAGCGGGGCACACTGCGAATGTGTGCCAGTGCATAGCAGAAGATGCTTGCACATTCCATATCGATTAGAAATTTCGATATATTATCTGAAAAGACATAACGAATATCGCCTAGCAATCAATGTTATTATTATGTTATGTTATGTTGTACTTGTCTGTAGCTAGGCTATAGGTGAAATTTTCAGTTATTGGGGGTTTCAATGGACCGGTGGACGTTTAACTGTGGTGTAATTTGTACATGAAACCCACTTGGATCATTGACGGTTTGTGATTGATATGCACCCACACTCGTGATTACTCATGGATAAATCTCGACCACAGTTTCTCAGTGAGTATATCGTACACCAGCACAATATGTGAGTTGGAAGGTCTTGGAAAGCACAGGAGTTGGTGAAATCCTGACAGGTGAGTTAAGAATCTCCTCAGGTGAATTGGCGAAAAACGGAACCACCTTACGAGTTTGCCTTGGAGAACCGGAGTTGAATAGTTGACCTGATACTGTGCGATCAGTTGATTGGTTTGGCCGAAATCGATTATCGAATGCAGGTATTCAGGAAACCACTGTGTGTGTCCACATGGTTTTCGGGACTTTTTCTCGGTTTGTTGTGACACAGTTGACATGGTGTTTGTTTATAAACCTCGTCGTTTAGCCTTGGTGTTTTTTTGTTGCAAGACATTCCTGAATATGACAAACTGTATGGAATTTCGATGACAGTGTCAATTCGGTTTCACTATGCTAAGCAACCTCACAAAACAAAAATTACTGAGGCATCGCGCCTCACTCGGATTGCTTAATTTTCAGAGACATGGATCTAGTGTTGGGAAGAATGTCATATTTGGGATCCAATGCAAGGGATGGAACAAATGCCACATAGTATCGAAGCTCTCGACGAAAAGACATGTGACAGGCTTTATGCTAAGGACACGACCAGTTTTCTCCGATATGCGGAAGGACGCGCGTTCGGCCGAACCGACGTTCGCATACTGGTTCCAGTGAGAACGAACGAAGAACGGGTATTTTTTAGAAGCTTGATAGTCGACCGCAGAAGCTATCAACAAACATATCCAAACTGACCTGTTTATTCACCTACTAAGAAGAAGGGAACACCAGCATGACAGAGCACAAAACTGTCCCAGAAACCGAATGAGGAGCTCGTAGAAGAATCAGGAAGTCCTGTTTCAAGTAGGCAAATCGAGCTGATTGGAGCAGCCGTCCAACCAAAATTCAAGGCACCAAGTTAACAGGTGAACACAAACGTTCTATCCATTAGAATGGATGGCGCAACTAACCAAACAACCAGCCGGCACGATTCAATACACACTGAGGATGGGCTGGTTAATACAAAGAGTGAAAACTGCTAAAATTTTATTGATATCAGGTTAAGCACCTAACTCAGAGCAAGACAGACCTCAAACCAACACGAAACACAAACCAATGAACTCATGAGAATGTCATGCCTCTGTTCGGCCATGATCAGCTGATCGGTAGTGCGGTTAACTCGCGCCCAGACTGGACATAGCAGCTCTCATACTTCAGTCACTGAAAGACATCAAATTGACGCACGTGTCTGCTGGCTGTTCGAGTGACGAACTCTTAAGTGGAAATTCCAATCGTTTTGTGAAATCTTTTTTTCCTCTGTGCTACGTACAGGTTGGTGGTAGAGTGAGGAGGCTAGGCGTTAAGTCACAGTTAGTGTGAATCATCACTAGTCCGCAACTCACGAGCCTCCATGGTGTTTCGGCAGTGCCTCTTCCTGGCCAGTAGCAGAAGCGAGTCAGCACGTGCAACCGAATGACTAAGATTCTCTGATTGACAGATGATGTCTCCTGTCTAGTGCGGGTTATTCGCACTGGTGAACGAACGATTGTGTTCAAATTATTAGTTTGGTTGTTGGGTTCGAAATTTCCTTGGGCTCAGTGAAGTGAGCACTGCTGATGAGTCTCGATAAGGTTGACACAGCGGTACAGTGATTGTTGGTTTTTCACACTAGACTAGCTTCACCCATACTACAAAATCTCAACGGAAACAATACTTTATCATTGAGCGTACGGTTCAAATCTGGACATGGTCTTTAGTTCTCCCTAACTCTGCATTCTTCAATCCGTATGCGGGAAATTCTCGTCCAGTACACAAAGGTTTCCTGTGCTTAACCTGAAGTGTTGCTCACGACAAGTCCATTAATTTTTCATCACCGCCGGTCTCGTTGCACCTAAATAATCATGGACTAGCAAACCACGTTGTCGAACGGACGATGACCTTGCCTGGTTAGTGTTTACATTGGATGCGTTTATGGTGTATATTCCTTAGACTCGATTGTGATTCTGGAAGACTGTCAATTATCCAATGGAAGACTGACTGCTTTATTCCCAATTTGCATATGACCTTCATATCCTATGTTCTAATTGTACGTTCGATTAACCCGATACGACACTGGGAGTGAATTTGGACGTCGAATGATTCTGCTTTCTGGTAATGCCGTTCGAGTTGTTCCGTCCACAGTTTACGGACTGCACCAACGTCGGCGCAGTTGCTGCTGTGTTCGTGCATGTGGTGGTCACGTGTAACACTGATAGAACTTGCAACACACTACTCATAAGGTTACCGAAAAATCGTCGACAGTCCTCGACCGATTTCGCCTCGTTCTTTGGCTCGTGAGTTAGGCACCGTGCCCCAGTCTCTGTCACCCCTATGATCCACTTGAACCCAACTTGTATTAAATTCGACACGGGATGCTCAGTTGGAACTCAGCTGAATGGCTCTTCTACACCATTCTTCATCTTG